GTTGCAAATATAAATACATACAGTACATGATTGAGGATAATTTTCTGAAAAGTTGTGCAAAGAGTGAGAACCACACAGTATTCACATTTGGAGATACAGTATAGCGTTTAAGTGTTTTAAAAATGTAGTTTTTTTTAATTTATTTGTTTATTTGGGGGAGGGGCGGGGGAAATGTGAAAACACATCTACTAGAACGGCCAGGCCAAGTGCAAAGCCCTGCTGTTACTTTTGCTTCGGAGGAGATGACGAAGGGCAGCAAGAAAAAGCGAGTGAGTTTATCCGAAGCTTCTTGCCAAAATAGCTCTCTTTTCGCTCTGAAATCACTCCGCCACCAACTCTGCAATTGGGCGCTATCCGGTCAGATGATGCCGGTGGCAAAATCCCACCCCACCAGGGTTGGAATAGTTTGGGATTTTTCGTTGCAGTTTCAGTTTGTTTTTTGTTTGGACTTTTGTTTTTAAATTCAGTCAGTTTTAACTCCTTTTCAGAATAGGCTTGTTAGTTTTTATTTATTTTTTTTAATCGTGCTTGGTTTTAGCTTAGTTTTTATTAGTTTAATATTAGCTTTAGTTTATTGAGATGGAGTGCAAGATTTTTTTTTTTTTTTTTTTTTAAAGGCCACAAAGTACCGTATAAGAAAGTAAAATAAACTACAATTCTCAATTGACTATTTGACTTTCCTTCTTTTGGATGGTCATACAGCAATAAAAATTAAATAAATAAATCAACTCCAAAAGTGTGATATTAATTGACAGAGACGAAAACAAGGGACACTTTAGTTGCAGTTTGTTCGTTAAATTGAAGACATAGTTTCAGTTAATTTTCAGGGTTTTTTGAAAACATTTTTTCAATTTTGTTTAATTGAAATGTTTTTTTTTCAGTGTTAGTTTTCGGGGGGGTTCTCGTAAGTTTTCGGGAGCCACGATAACCTTGCGCCCCACAAGCCACCAGGCGCGACACTCAGTTAGGCTCTTCGACGCTGCGCTGCGCTTTGTTGTGTCCTTGAGACCGCCTCACGCCGCCACAATTCCTGCCACAAGTCAGTGTTGCCAGCATCTTATTTCGCAAATTTGCTGTCAAAGGATCACGATAAACTGGCAAACACTTCGCTCTGCGTACTCCTATGCCGTAAAACATGAAATCTCTTCCACCTTTGTCGACAGAGACCACTCAAGCTACAGATCTTTGAAGTAACCTCAGAGGTCATTTGTTATTCCGGGAGAAGAAAAGTGAAATTGTCATTCAAGAAAGAGTAGTGCAACATGCGATGCTGTTTCAACGCTTTTTAAAGAGTTACTTTCACCTGTGAGATTGCTCTTTCGAGTAGACGTTTATGTGAAGTGCCTCGGAGCATCCAGGGGCTGTTTTGAACAAAGAGCAGCTCATAAAGTGGATAAAGTGGCAATGTGAGTCGCGCACAAGGATAAACATCAGACACACGCTTGCAGTATATGCCTAATCACATTTGGGTGCGAGCGTTGTGTAACAGGAAGGTGATACTGCATTGTCAACATACGCGACTTGATTACTAATCAAGTGTTTGTAAAGTTCAGGCACTGTGTTTAAAGACCAACACTTGGACTTCCGCGGCTGGAATACTAATTCTGACAAGCAACAAAGTCATGGTTCTAACGCTTCTTCATCGCTTTAGTGTGCAGTAAGGAAAAAAAAAAAATTACAAAAGTGCTCAGAGAGAGGAAATACTGGATAAGATGCTTGCAATTAATTACATGACTAATCATTCTCTTATTTTGCGTGAATGAACACATTTTGCAAGTACAGAGCAGGGAAAAGAGACACATTGTTCCTGTTTTGTTGTCATGGATTTCACATCAAGTCTGGCACATTTGAAGTTACGTACTGACAGACCTGACCTGGTCGAGTCACTGAAAACGGCTGCCGCAACAATAGCGTAACGACCATACACAAGGTGCATCGGATTTTAAGGCGCGCTGTGAGCTTTGAAGAATATGGAAGGGTTGTAGGTGCGCCTTTTAGTGCGGAAAATATGGTACTCGATCAAATCTCATTCAACTGAGCAGTTGTACAGTGAGTGTAATCCAACCTGTTAAAAAAAAAAAAAAGTGGAAAAAATGCAACCCTTAAAAGCTGTGGGAAATAATATCACAAGTAGAACCGATTTGAGGTCTCTAAGGTTGTTTATGTTCTGGGGTTTAGGAACCTGGAGCCCATGAGAGCCATTCAGCTCTCCCGTCATATTTCCAGAATCGTTGGACTTGACAATTTGAGCTACGTGAATGTGCTAAAGAAAAAGGGCCCATAAGAAAAAAAAAATGACACAGAGAATTAAATTAGAAAGTCAACCTCCATCAACACAAAGCTAATATTTCCAAAGCTCAAATGCTAGACTTGAGTGCAGCTAATATAATTTGAATACAGTCAAATTAGCGTGATCATTATTTACATTGAATGTAAGATCCCTCGTACAAGTGCAACGTTTGCACAAACACGTGGCTTTATTCGTCACTTCAGATATATAACGGTCACTTGCTGTCCAAATCATGATTTTATGTAAATTGGAGCATGTAAACTGAAGTAGCCACCCCTGCAAAGGTATTAAGCGCTTGTGTTTTCATAGCAGTTGCATGACAAAGCAGCTGATGAGGGGGGATGAGCACTAATGCTCTTCATGCTGTTTACCACACGTTTCGATGCGCGGAGCTAATTCTCCCGAGGCTCTTATATAACCTCTGTTGGATCGACGCAAAGGTTAATGGGAGACAGCGAAATCCAACAACAAACTGTGCATATTGTGTGGGTAAAAATGCTGGTGATAACGAGGGAGAAATTTCAGTTGAATTCTATAAGTCTGAAATTTTTGGACAAATATGCTGACACTCAGATGAACAATGGCATCACTGAACAAATCCAAATCTGAATCACCTTCATCTCGTACACCTCCGTACATCAGTAAGCACCTTATATTATATGTCAGTTTTATTAAACATTTATTCTTGATCTGCATCAACACTGATTGATTTCTACTTTGACGCGTGACACACGGTTCTTGTAAAGTAGGCATCTTCTTTGCTCAATACGGATTTACTCTCTTGATCTGTCAGTGAGTGGCAAAAAAAATGAGGTCGGCTTCAAACATTTGACAGTAGCCATTTCGCGAGGACATTATTTTTGCCTCAATTCGATAGAGCTGCAAAAATCCCCTCAAGATTTAACTTACTTTGGGAAAGTTGCACAACATGAATAACACATGAGGAATTTCTGAAAATAAAAAAACGGACCTCATGATCAGTGTTTTATTCTCCCCAGATGGAGATGGAGAATGATTTCAGTGCCCTGATGGAAACGGGCTTCTTGTATATCAAGGCAACGCCGATTAGCACAGGCAACAAGGCCACAAATGAGAATTTCTTACAGTCAGCGGCGTTTAAATGGCAACATTTAACTTCAGCTCATCCGGCAGACAGTCGACCCCCCCCCCCACCCCACTCCCAACATTTTCAGCTTGTAACATGCATTTTTAAATGCTTCCCTGAAACTTAAAGTGTTACCCATTCCTCACAAATCCCAACGACTCGAACACGTCAAAACAGCAGCGCGGGGACCAGCTGTTATTACACACATTTACGACAAATTATACCATGTAAACTGAATTAGGTTCAAAAATGGCTTCAGTGGATTTGGATGTGCATTTGGATGCATTTAGATAGCATGCAACTGAACCCTGCGCCCGTCCGTCTATGATCATTACTGTGAGTCATCAATTGTGTGAGCATTTTTTGTTTAGTGTGTGTGTGTGTGTGTGTGTGTGTGTGTGTGTGTGTGTGTGTGTGTGTGTGTGTGTGTGTGTGAGGGGGCAACACAGTGATTCACTTCTGACCTCTCTCTGCATGTCCCTCCTTTCCACATGTGGAGTGCACAATGTTTGCCGACTAATCTTCTTCCCTTTGACCATAAATGTGATTACCGCCACGCAAGAGATAATAGGAACCTCATATCTGCGCTCCACCAAAGAGCATGAATTAAAAACTAAGCTGTAGCCTTGAGGAATAGAGAAGAATTTCTCATCCGAGGGACGATTCGGTGCTGAGTGCAGACAGCCCCCTGGTGGCCAAAAATAATCTGTGCCGCGTTTCATCAAACGGCACCGCTGCCGGCAGGCAGGCTGCATGTTCTTCTGTTGCATATGAGCAACAGGTACGCTTGCCAGTCCTAAATCATGCCTGTTTTTCGCCGAAGCGACGACTTTTGTGAAATACTCAAGTGGTGCCAGCTCCAAATTAATAAGTGGACAGCTCACTTCTTTTCGCAACAGATTGCATTTAAAAATGTTTGCCCCGTGGGCGAAGTGGGCTTTGATGACCATCTGGAGCTCATGAAACACTTAATATAACATTTTGTATTCGTTCATGGACGATTAAACTACGACTAATGACTACGACTAACAAAAATATCCAAACATGAACACCTCCGGGACGGTTTTGTTGACGGCAATGAAAACATTTCAAGTTTCATGGCGCATTATCGTCGTGTTGCATTCGCCGCTTTTGAAAAGACGACCAATATCAGATTCTCAAATGAGCAACCTAATTATTCCATGTCAGATTTAATAGATGCACAAGCTGTCAACCGATAATGGACGACTGAAAACAGAGAAACAACACGCCGATGTGTGAGTTATTCCTAAATGGAGGCTTTAAGAGGTATCACACAAGACTAACGCGCATCCATCAATCTTACTGGCTTCACACGAATGTCATTGTTCTTGTATGAACGTTCATCGATAGAGTCGTGGCACTCATTTCGGAATGGCACGAGGCGGAAGCACTTGCCCGCGGTAATGGCAACACTTGATGTGATTCGTTTTTCTGGCGACGACAGGGCAAGGCTGCGGGTGTCCCAGTTGCTGTCATTATATGCTGTGACTGAGGGGGGGGGGGTGACACATGCCAATTGGGAGGAAGAAGATGATAATGATGATGATGATGATGCTGGTGGCGGTGACCGTCTGTGAGCCTCACCTGATATTTCCTGATGAGGCGCATTGACAAGACTGAATCCTTTGGCATGAAACGCTTGTCTAACTTCGCTGCAGCTTCGAGCTTTGCTCTCGGCACCGAAAGATGTGGACAGCAGCAGCCACAGCGTGCACACAACCACTTGCGGTCTCCACATCGCAAACCACAGCGTGTGGACTCCTCGATGGTGTCTCTCAGAAAGGATAAATCCACTCGGAGCGGGGAAAGGAAATCTTGAAAGGATGCCAGGAAAAGGTCTCCGATAATGAATCTGAATGTGCCTTAAAAAAGAAACGAAGCAATAACTCGCCACTTGGCATCCGTCCTCCTCATCGTCAGCTGGGCGGGCTCGTCTTGCCCTCGTGTGCGAGGCACTCGCCGCGGGTTCCCGATGGCAAACGAAGCGCGGAGAAGCGGCGATGCTCAAGTGATGTCAACTTGTCCCGCCGCCGACGTGTCGGTGCGAGTCGAGTGACGAGGAAATGAGAAGCGAGCGCTGCGCGGCGAGCACGCAAAAAAAAGCCAAGGGCAAAACGTGGAGTGGAGTGGCCGAGACTTGAGCGGCGGCACAAGCAGCCAACGTCCAACGGGCGCGCGCTGCTCTCCTCTGCTCTTGTGCATCCTCGATGCGCGCAGCTGCGCTTGGGGGTGCGCACACGCGTCCGCTGGGGGAGTGGGCGGCTGCAAACATATCAGGACACTGGATCATCTCCCGCCCACCTTTCGGACGGATCCACTCCTACATTCACGGGCCACAACTTCAAGAACGCGTCCACAATCTAATTAGGTCCATATTCTACAACCCCTGGGGCCCCAGAAAAGAAGGATCATCGATTATCACCCCTCTCCCCCAACACTCACATACCCCCAAAAAACTGAAATCAAGATGATGGACAGAATGATATAAAGTTTCGCGTGATCGTTTCATGGTTAGTACCCAGCATTGCGGCCGCCTCAACCCGGTTCGAATCCTGGTCACGGCATGTGCAAACACCAAACTTGTCTTCTGGGCGGCCTGGTGGTCCAGTAGTTAACGCGTTGTCCTCATAGTGCAGAGGTCGTGGCTTCGATCCCGGCTCCGGCCTTCCTGTGTGGAGTTTGCATGTTCTCCCCTGGGCCTGTGTGGGTTTTCACTGGGTAAACCGGTTTCCTACCACATTGCAAAAACATCGTTCTTGCCAGCAATTTTATTCCACACAAATTGCAAAGAAGATTTGAACCGTTTAAAAAAAAAAGATAAAGGTTTCAGCCTCTTCATTTTTTAAAAATATTTCCCAATTGACTTGTTGTTGATTGACTTATCAGTAGTTACCTATTGCCTCGGCTATCTGTTACGGCAGATCTGCGCTCGTTTTTACATGGGCACCTCTTTCTGTACGACGTAGTTAAGGTTGAAAATATTGACTTGAGGAGTCCCTGCTTACGGAGCCGAAGTGCCCACCTGTGTCATCAAGTTTTAATTACCTCTTGTGAGTCACACCCCCACCCCTCCCCCCATTTGCTTCACTATGTAATCAGCCCCTTGCCTTTCCTCGCATTTTATCACCTGTAGTTAATTGATCTCTCTCTCTCTCTCTCTCTCTCTCTCTCTCTCTCTCTCACACACACACACATTGTTGATGTGAAAGTGTCATTTAGAATAAAGCATATCGTCATCCGATTTACTGCACTGTTGAAAATGACAGTTCAACCACAAACACTGGCCTTTTATGTCAACCCTGCAGTGTGAAAAGGTAACTTTGTTAATTACAGTAAAATCCCGTGTACAATACGCGCCGTTTATCCCTACACAAGCTAGTCGCAGGTCTCATCGGTATTGATCACATGGTCTTTACTGGCTAACACCGTGAGTGAAGTCACGTAAAGGATCTCTTCTCTCAAGGAAAGACTTGGCAACATCGCGTCTGCTACAGAACAATGGATTCATCTTTGACCTCTTCTGCCGAGTTGGCTTTTCCCAGGTGGTCAGCATCTTGATCTTACGGCGAGGTTCGGTGGTCGAGTTGGCTTTTGATGACACTTGCTCTCGGGCTGCTTTGCTCCATTGGGCACGTGGCGTCTTGGATCTGGGAAGGTAAATTTCAAGGCATTTTGGAGTGAAATATGCAGATCAGGGCTAACAACACAAGGGGAAGAATAAAAGATTCGACTAATTGGAGGACCCCTGGAATCCTATGAAGCAGAAGTGGAAGGAACTGAACCGTGCAGTCAGAATGAGGCGGCCTTCAAATCTGAGATCGCCGGAGCAGTGGAGATTGCCTGTCTACCTCTCCTCCGGTGCACACGTCAAAGTGAACTCAACTCGACTCAACTGTATTTCCTGAGCACTTTAAAACAACCACAGCAAAAATAATTCATACAACAAACAATACATTAATTACAAAGATAGTAGAAAGCACAGAAACAGAAGAAGTAAAACTCAAGTCTCATGCTGAGTCAAATGCCAAAGGCTCAAAATGAGTTTAAGTTGTGATTTAAAGATGGGCAGTGAGGGGGGGATTGCCTAACATTCAGTGGGAGGGCATTCCAAGGAGAAGGACCAGCAACGGAAAAGGCTCGAGTTCCTCTGAGCCTCCGCTTCGTACTCGGTACTTCTAATAGTGTCCGGTCCGCAGCCCTGAGGCAGGTGTGTCGGGGTGGAGGAGCTCGGAGAGGTACAACAAATAATAGGATCTTCAAAAGAACTTTAAAATGTATCGTGAGCCAGTGAAAGGACGCCAGAGCAGGAGTTACTGTATGTGCTCCCTCTTACGAGTTCCAGTCAAGAGGCGAGCAGCAGCATTCTGGACCAACTGGAGATGCTTCATGGAGGATTGGCTGACTCCAAAGTCAAGTGCATTCCAGTCATCCAGCCGGGATGTGACAAAGGCATGATTTGCTGTTTCCAAGTGCTCTTGAGAAAGGAAAGGCGCTGCTTTCGCCAGCTGCCTAAGATGAAAGAAGCTGGATTTAACAACGGCACCAATTTACCGGTCCAATTAAAACCACTGTCCAGTTTAAGACCCAAGTTCGAGACAGGTGGCTTAAGATAAGGAGCCAGGGGGCCCCAAGTCCGCAGGATGGGATGTACAAGGGCCACGGGGACCAAACACCATCACTTCTGTCTTCTTTTCATTAAAATTCAAGAAATGTAGCGCCATCCAGGCCTCAAAACCCTTTTCCAGATTTTCACTTTAAAATTATGTACTTTTCACTCATAAATAGGAGAAATAAATAAACACAACATTTGTAGCATCGGCTTTCTTTCACCAACACTTTTGCTTATGAGTGAGGCATCTTTGCAATGAGTGAAATTAAGTGAGAGAGACTTGCCCCCCCCAAAAAAATCTACACTGTCTTGCTACGACAGCGCAGGATGGAACCAGCCACTTGTGTCATGTAAATGAAATGGAAAATCAAATGAACGCAGCCTCTGAATATTAATTTAATTTACTGCATTTGTTTGATAAGAGTAAGAAGTAATACATGTCGTCTTTGATGAACTGTGAAGCGCCGCACTCTCCGAAAATGGAACACTTGTGATTGATGAGATACGTCTGAAGAAATCATTTCTTTCTCCCATACGGAATAAATATTTCCATTTTCTGTGATGTCCCGCCAATTTTGTTTTTACTTTCTTTATATCTACGACATTTGATGATGAAAATGTGGGCTCGGACCAATCAAACTGATTCCAGTAAACGACGTATCGCGCAATAAAGCAAAAGATTCATGAAATTGATTTTGTTTTGGCTCCCATCTCTCTGCCCGCAGCCGCAAAGACCCCAAATCAAATGTGTTTTCCCTTTTCACCGCCGTTTTATTTGCACGGTATTATCACAGCCCGACTGAGTTAATAAGCCTTTGCTAATGAGGCCTCACGTTGATGGCCAGGAGGTGATCCCGCTCGTGGATCGATAGCTCACCATGAGGAGTCAGCGCAAGGTTCATCATGACTCACTCACGGCTCCGCCGGGAAAACGGAGCTTTCCAGAGCAAAACTCGCACTTTCCTCAACTCGTGGTAATTGGAACCTACACGGACCATTACCTTTAATGTAGATTATATTTATAACCTAAAATTTGCTACATGACAATTAGACAGTAAACGAGATGGAAGAATAGACTGTGGGATGCTTTGCCGTAAAACCTGCCAGAAGTGAAAATGCACCTAAAATAAATTGAGCTACAGTAGTATCACCAGTCGAGTGGTTAGCGCGTCGACTTCACAGTGCAGAGATTGCGGATTCGATCCCGGCTCCGGCCTTCCTGTGTGGAGTTTGCATGTTCTCCCTGTGCCAGCGTGGGTTTTCTCCGGGTACTCCGGTTTCCTCCCACATTCCAAAAACATGCATGACAGTTTAAGGGAACACTCTAAATTGTCCCGAGGTGCGAGTGAGAGCGCAAGTCTCCGTGTGCCCTGCGATTGGCTGGCAACCGGTTCAGGGTGTCCCCCGCCTACTGCCCGAAGACGGCTGGGATAGGCAAAAATTGGAGTGTGCTATGGTCTGACGAGTCCACAACAGAAACCCTGAACGAACGATGGGCAAGAATTCCCCCACCTAAAAAGCGTCAACAATTCGTGCCCTTGGGTCCTAAATGCCTCTCGAATATTTTTTTCAAAAGGAAATTGTGATGTTTTGGGGTTTGTAGTTGGAAAATGCTCCCGCATTCAGTTGCATGCGGCAGCTCATGCGCGAGGCCCCCTGTAAACAGATGAGGAATAAGGTCACTTTGTTCACATTAGCACAGAAAGCAGTGGAATGAATAATTAATGAACATATATAATTCATGAGTGTTAAAGACAAATATGAGCAATTGCAGTAAAGAAATACAAAAAAAAAAAAAAAACATATAAAGGAACCGCTCGGCTTTGTGATCACTAAATAATCTCAGGATGGGATGCAATCATCCTTTTCTTTTAACTGGCAAAGTAGCCTAATAGGCCATCACCTTGATTGTCCTGCTAGCAACCACAAAAAGCAAACACGTGTGCGCCATTTGAGGGAATCAAGGACCCCAAGAGTTGAGAGCAATCTTGATCAAATGGGGTTTAAATGACTTGAAGTGTCACATCTTCAGGGATGCATGCGCCATGAGCGTCATCATTTAAATGGCGCCAACACCCGCGTGTACATTTAAAGCAACATTAGTTTAGCTTGTTTGGATGCATACAGGGGAGGTTTGCTCATCTCTCTGTTGCTCGACAGGCGCTTCTCATGAAAATTTGACCGGACATGAAAGCACACTTCACTACTACTAATTAATTAATCTAAAAAAACAATAGCATACACATACAAATACTTGCACATACAATGTGTGCATTTTCTGTGTCGTCCTTGCTTGCTATTGTTTTTTTCTTTCTTCTTTTTTGTTTTAATTTCTAGTCAACCGCTATTGTAACTGATAGGATGCACATTTTCCCATTGTGGTTATCATTAACGGTTATCATATCTTATCGAAATGAATCAAATCGAATCAAATAAAGTCCAACCCAAGCTACTTTGCTTACGCCCGCATTTTCAGCAAAATGGTCACTTTTTGGACAAATTTCTCTGAATGCTCTTGAAGTAACACAATAAAACACAAACGTAAACAAAAGATGAATGGACTTGCATCGAACATTATGAATTGTCTGGGCGACACGGTGGACGAATGGTTAGGACGTCCGCCTCACAGTGCAGGGGCGTAGGGTTCGATTCCGACTCTAGCCTTCCTGTGTGGAGTTGGCATGTTCTCCCCTGGCTTCCTCTCACATTCCAAA